TCATTATTACTTTTGTATCACCGGGAGATATCCACTTATACGGGCCGTTGTCTTCATCATCGGGGTGAGTAGAATGTGTTCTCATAACGTTGACATTACCTTAAAAACTCGAAGATACATCAAGTAAAGTAAAACGATCGAGAAAAATCGAAAGAAGAGAACTGCGATAAGCTTACCAGGAATGATTAAAGTAAAAACTTGTTTCCCAGTCCACAGTGGCTTAGGTTTTAAAATTGCTGGCTGCGGTATAACCCCATCCCAATTAGGCATCTGCATTAACAAATCCATCATGCGCGGCTTCTCTATGAAAGAATCCCTTTTTGTCATCATACGAACTGCACAGAGTGTATCTTGTACGATACCCATGACCGGTTTATTTGCCTGAGGAGTGATCAACTGCCTAAAAAAGGACATGATACTTCCAACCATCCTTCGATACCTAGTACTAGTAGACAAAAAGCAGTAATCCAAGCTACTTGCACACAAGTGTCTGAAACTAAAGAAGTAAAAAAAAAAGAACCAATTTTCAAACCCAGAACGTAGAACACCATACAAAAAATATGACTTTAAATTAAAAGTTAATGCAGGACTATGATTTTTGAAAAATAAAGTCTGCCAGCCGAATGAATCGACAACAGTTTCAAAAAACTTGCCTAGGTACCATTGCTATTTCAGCAATCTCCGCTCTAGTTTCAAGACTCTGAGGCAAATGGAGATTCATCTCATCTCCATCGAAATCAGCATTATAAGGCGTTGTCACGGAAAGGTTCATACGAAACGTAGACCACGGTAAAATCTTAAGGTAATGTTCAAATTCGTAACTGTTTAACAGCGGGTAAATTTATTTGAAAAAACAAGATCATTCTCTCGTAAAACCAACTTTAACTTTATGTCCCATCATTGACATCTTATGCAGAGAAGGTTGGCGATTGAATACAATTATATCTCCATCCTTCATATGTCGCTCAACTCTAAAAAACAATAATAAATGAAGAAAGTCTTTAAAAAACTCGAATTTTCCACAATACCAACTTACCGTTTGAAAAGTTATGCAAACCTAAGAGAAAATAAAAGTAGATCAAACCTATATCCCGGCTGCAAATGCAAATCTGCCGCTCGTGGGTGGTACCGCAGATCTACCCGTGCCCCTGTGTCTCGAATTATGTACTTGGCACCTGGGTATTGTGAGTCACCACGGTTCACCAGCTCTTGAAGTCTACAAAAAAAAACGTTTAAAGACTAAAGAAAAAAGCAAATTACTGTTAAAAGCAATTAAAATAAAATTTAATGACTACTTGTCGATATTGAAAGGCGTAACAATTTCGGGAAATGTCATATTTTGCGCAATGGTTCGAGGAACTCCTATAGTATCAATTGGGAGATTCGGGTCTGGTGTGATCACAGTACGCGCTGAAAAATCCACTCGTTTGCCCATCAGATTTCCACGAATACGGCCCTCCTTTCCTTTCAGTCTTTGTTTAATAGATTTTAACGGGCGGCCACCTTTCTGCGTAGCCTGAGAAAATGATTCTTACTAATGACTTAAGCAAAAAGAGAGAACAAAGAGATTACTAAAACGCAGACATGCTTAAACTATGATGACTAGTGGAATCAAAATAAAAGCTCCAAAACTTTCATGAAACCACGCTTAAGTTTAAAAAATTTTGACAAAGAAATATACGAACCGTTGGAATACCAGGGATATTATTGTCAACCAACGTAGCAACATGGTATTGCAACAGTTTAACATCTTCGGCAATAACATGAGCAGCAGCCCCATTCGCTTCATCCCTTAAATAAAAGAAAAAATAAGTCCCACCTACTTTTACCATAAAATTCGAATCTCTTACTTACTCTCAACATACCTTCTTAGCTGATTGTTAGTCTTAACAATATCTGAGAGTTTGTGAGTTAAATCGTCCTGATTTCTAGCCGAACCAAATGTAACTACTGCTGGGCGTACAGCAAGAGGGGATACCGGGAGCACTTGAACTATCATCCAGTCGGGTCGTGAAAAACGTGGATCAAACCCTAAAATACCAGAAGTTTGTCCATAATTAATTTAAAAAACTAACCTAAAGCGAAAAGTAAAAGAAAAATAGTAGAAAATCTTAAGCAGCACTTTTGCGCTGATATGGTTTATTTCAGCAGATAAAATACTCCTCACGTCAGAAACAACATAAACTATCTAACCTAATATTACACAGTCAGCGTCCGATACTGATTTGAATATCTCAAGTGCCCGTTCAGCAGATAAAACAATCTTCCTTTCCTATAAATACGGTAAATGATCAACAATCACCGTATACAGTGTCAAGTAAAACAGGAAAAATTTGAAAACCTGTTACCTGTGTATCCTCATTGACATGTTTTTTCCATTCCGCAGTAATATCAAGCCCCATTCTCTTGTAAGATGGCTGATATCTTCCGCAGCCGCCAGCTTTTACTTCCTTCTCTGCATCATCACCCTCCTAAGACAAAGAACTCTGCCATCTGATATTAATCAATTAATGGCTAGTTATAACTAACAGGAATAACACACCATCATTAAAACCCGAAAAATACGACTCTAAACGACCTAGGAACAATACCTCTGCTACAGGTTGAAGTTCATCACCTCCATCACAAACTGTTTTGGATTTGCAGATGTCATATATTAATGCAAGACGCTTTCGCGGGTTCCCAGCAGTTTTCTTAAGGATTTCCTTTACCCTAGGGCTATCCTTTTCAATCATTAAACGGCTGCAGTAGAAACAAACACAACGTAACAACTAAAAAATCCATTTCATTAGGACCAACCAGAGAAATAATCCGATGTCAACAACTCTACATTTCAATTCCTAACAGGGGAAGAACCAGCACAAAAACAATTATGCATCAAAATACGGTTTTTTCACGCGACTCGTTATTAATTACAGTACTTTTTCATGCGCGATAAAACAAAAAACAAAATGAAATAAACTGGTTTTTCTTTTACTATTATTATTATTCGAACCTTGAGTGTTTTGGCGAGAAACCCAATATGAAACACAGGTTTCGCTAGCTCCAAATGAGCAAAATGTCCAGGACAATCTGCTAGGTTCCCTGCGCATGTCATGCAGTGGCCTTTGCGATCTACCACCCCCTGTCTTGGATCCATTAAGCCGCCAACCTTGGGTTGTCCATTTTCATAGATTTCGGAGAACTCAATTTCCCCAACAGACATTCGCTTCTAAAAAATTTGCTTGAATAAAAAAGCGTATAGCTCTGCCAAGCCCAAAATAAAAAACAACAAATGAAATTAAATAACTTACTATTTCATCTGGACTTAGTATTCCAAACTGCACTCGTTTGACTGTACGCAGAGGAGCACGGAAATCAACGCCAAGAAGCGACATCTTGACGAAGTGCCCTTAAGGTGGATAAAAACACCTTCTAGCCGTACAAAATTCCAATTTGCTCAAAAAATCAAGAATAATGATCAAATTTTTTGACATTCAAAAAGTAAAACACGCTTTGCATAAGTCTTCATCGATGCGCAAAAATCCTTAAAACGACAAAACACGATATAATCTAAACCATCGTAACTATTATATGCCGTTGGTTTTGACTTATCCGCCTCTTTCCTGATACTGTAAAAGGTAATGCTCAGAAAACAAGAGCAAGAAGAGCTTTACTGATAAAAGAGGGGAATCTGAGTTTGCATCTGCCACAATCACTGTTAGACTGCTACTTGGTTTTCGGTTCTCACATCACTAACAAATCAAGAATTTATGAAAGCCTCTAACAAACACCAATCTTGCTTTTCATATATGACCATAATTAACTTTAATGAGAATCAACTATTCTATCAGCTCTGATTTCTTTGACCAATAAAACCAAAGTCCGAGACTGACCAGGAACAAACTATCCACTAGGCACTCAACATAAAAAAGAACTTGTGAATTAGTTTCGAAATTATCTACGGTGTAATTCTAAAATCACACTTATAACAGCTGAATATCGTCGTCTGCTGGCGCAGCAAAAAGAGTCGCGTCAGTCGCATGCGAACTATGATGTATCAACAGCGAGCGTGAGATTTGGGATTTGGGGTCATTGATTTCTGCATTTTTTTTTTTTTTTTTCAGAAAACCATTCGTTAAAGTTTTCAG